CACAGAAAAGATGACCAAAATAGCATACTATTATTAATATTCAGAATATCAGTGAGCCCACCCTGGTCAAGTATAAAATGTGCATACTTGGTTTCACTAATATGGATGCACTATTCTGCATTTCCACTATCCCACAAATATTACTTGATATTTGGAACACTCCATCTTTTAGGTTTGTTCCCAAATAATAGGTGCAAAATCATATGTCATTATAATTTGCATTTTCAGTGTGTGTTTATGCATCTTTTTCTGTGCCCATTAGACTTTGGCATTTGTTTTTCTGTGTATATCTGTTGCCTGTTTTTATGTCTAGGTTGTTATATTTTTATTTCTACTTTGCATGTGTTATTGATGTATTCTAGATAGTCATTTTTCTGTAATCACTACATACTGTTACCTATATAGTCACTTTATCTATGGTAGCTTTCATTGTACAAAATCCATATATATATGGATCCATATACATACATATATGTATGTATGTATGTATATGGATGTATATGCATGTATATGGATCCATATATATATGGATAAGCTACAAATGGAGCAACTCATAGGGACTTAGAATAAGTAGCTTCATAAGAATTAGCACTGCTGAACTATCATCTTAACCTAACCTGGAGATTTTTCCTACTAAGATAATTTCTAGTTCAGGATCAACTTGGGTATTTTTAGGCATTGAATCTGATGTTTCTAAAGATAGAGGCTGCTGTTCAAACTATCCCTGATTAGGCCAGTCCACACAAGCGCTGTTATCTGAGTAAAGCCTTCCTTAAGCCACTGTCATAACTGGTACAGAGCTAAAGAGACAAAATTTCTCCATTGGATTCTGTATCAGGTCAAATTAGTTAAAATTAACTTATTCCTAGAGAATTTCTAAAATCCAAATAGTTTGGCAACACTTTTTTACTTACATTGTATAAGTTAAAGAGTTGTGATTCTGAGGGGCACCTGGGTGGCTCAGTCCATTAAGCATTCAACATCGGCTCAGGTCACGGTCTCATGGCTCCTGAGTTTGAGCCCCACATTGGGCTCTGTGCTGACAACTCAGATGGTGGAGTCTGCTTCAGATTCTGTCTCCATCTCTGTCCCTACCCTGCTTGTGCTCTGTCTCTCTCTCTCAACGTTTAACAAAATCGGAAACAGGCTCCAGGCTCTGAGCCATCAGCCCAGAGCCTGATGCGGGGCTCGAACAACCAGACCGCGAGATCGTGACCTGGCTGAAGTCGGACGCTTAACCGACTGCGCCACCCAGGCGCCCCTGTCTCTCTCTCTCAAAACTAAATAAAACACTAAAAAAATTTAAGTTATGAATCTGAGTATTATTTGTAAATACTCCAATACTCAGTTTAAAAAGCAGTATGAGCATATCCTTATTGTTTTGATAAATGTATCACAATTTCCACGGTTTTCTACTGCCAGGTTTTCTAGTACAAAAAGTGCTCCCTATTATATCAACCTATTAGGTGTTACTTTATAATAACCTATGATAAATATTGACAATAGAGATCTCAAAGAATAATCAAGCCATATTTCAAATTCTTCAAGATAGCTCAGCAAAGTCCATTATAAAATAGTAAGTCACACTTCTTTTGGCCCAGATATTTAACACATTTAACCATCGATAATATTTAAAAATGTATGGATGTTAAAAATAAAATATTTTTATTTGATGAATTACTCATTTGAAACTCATTGCTGTTTTTCTAAGGGTAAGAAAGAAAGAAAGAACAATAAATGGAAGATAAGTACTTGGGCAGATATCATAACAAAGAGGAAGAATACCTATAGCTCCTTAGTGTGTGTGCGTGTGTGTGTGTGTGTGTGTGTGTGTATACACATACTGTATGTATATGTATGTGTATGTGTGATGATCACACATAAATGAAATAAAAATTTGGCTTGTAGTTTAATATTAGCAAAGCAACGTACCTAGCATGCCAATAAATAAGTACAATAATTCAAGAGAAAAGAGATGCTAGTATTTATTACATATTAATCTAACATAATTAATGCTGGCTGTTTAAGTGGAGGCTCTAAATCACTCTGTAATATATCACTAAAGTTATGTTGTAGAAAGAAAACTAAAGTTTAGAAAGCTTAAAGTGATTTGTGTAAAGTCATACAACTGCCTAGAGACAAAGCCAGAGTATTACCCAATTAAGGCTCTTTTCATTGTACCATACTACCACTAGATACCATGGGTTTTTTTTCCCCCCAAAATGACATTTTATTGAAATATGTGACATAAACATTGTATAAATTTAAGGTATACAACATGTGAATTTTATACATTTATATGTTGTAGTAAGATTACGATTGTAGGGATAATTCGCACCTCTATTACATTACCCAATTATTTTTTTTTAGTGGTTGGAATAACTAAGTTCTGGTCTCTAGCAAGTTTGATACAAGTTACAATGAAATATTATCATCTGTATTCATGACATTAATGCAGTCCTGAGGAGAGAGGAAATTGTGAGAGTTACAATTCAACTTTATGCAGCCATTTTCCTCTTTCCTTTTTGGAAATCAGAGAAAAGTGATTTATTCAAAACAGTCATTCCAAGTATATTAAACTAGGACTAGGCAAATATATTTCCTTTTTGAAAAGAATTGTTTCCAATAATATATTACTAAGTAATCTATATAATTGTATCAAATAAAAGCTCTGTCAGAATATTTACATCAGATATTTGTTAAGAAAAAAGAAAACAAATACAATGGATACAAAGAATAAAATACATTGAACATTACAGAAGTATATAGCTATTCCAGTTTCCTGCTCCTGGTTTAAACTTCATATTTTCTTTCTTAAACATTAAATGTTAAAAAAAGTAATTAGCTTTTCCCATAAACAATTTTATCAGGAATGTTATATACTGTCATATAATAGAACATATATAAAGAAACAAATGGCGTTACTTCGATTTTTAATTTGCAACATCTGTTTCAACCATAGATATCACTTTTATTTACAAAAGTAATGCTCGAACAACAGCTACCAGTGTTATCTAGTTCTGTGTACTACAGCTGGAAAAAAACTGCTTTAGGTTTCCCAAAAGGAAGCCAAATTAGCATATCATTCTTTAGGTCCCAGTCCATAAAAGTACCTGTAAAATAGATTACATGTTTGGTTTTGGAAATTGGTATTATCAAACAGGCTCACAAAAACAGGAGATAAAAGAAAGACAGTTCTAGAAAAAACACTGGTGATGCTGAGAACACATTTCCAAAAATCTGTCTGGTTAAGCAGCCATTAAAGCACCTGGATATCCCCAGGAGAGTGACAAAGGACAGCCTAGAAGAGTTTTGCTCAGAGTCAGCTAGAGATTTGGTTTTTACCAAATGTACTCTGACACAGAGGAGAAGAAGTAGTCTGAAACAAGTTTAGGGATCTAAGTTAAAGCTGCCTAAGCACAGACATATATACTTGTTTGAGGCTTTGCAAGCTGGCTTAGATAGAATACTGCAAAGCCTTGCCAGACTCACTGAGAGTTAGCGTTTTCTTTGAGGCAGCAATAGTATGCTTGGGTTTAACGAGACTGCCATACACAATGTGTGAAAAAGTATATTTTAGGCAACTATGGATATAGCTCAATTGACAAATGGTTTTTCTGCCAAAAAAAAAAATCATTTATAAATTGATCTTTGGAACCCTGAATCCATTTCTCAAAATAGATAGTAGTGATTAGTACATAGAAGTTAAGCCACAGATGCCTCATTTAATCCTTAAAAAATATAAAATATAGTACTGATTAATGCTTTTACCCTATCAGATAATTTTATATTATGAAATTGTATTCTAAACCCCAAATTAGAATGCCAAGAACATGCTTCAGTGGCTAAGGGTCCAAGACCCACAGGAGCCTGCTGTCTGTAGCAGTGATCATCTGGGGTGGGCAAGGGTGTTCTAGGGCCTCTGAGAAAACCAAACATGACATATCCTACAAGAGCCTATTAAGTTTTCTTTATAGAAATAAAAACACTTTACAACACTCTATAAGAGTTTAATTAAAACATGGAGCAGCCTTATAAAATGGGATTACGTTTATGGTCCTACAGAATATTATTACTCTATTGATATTTCTCCATTAGGTGTTTATTTTTTATAATGGCTCTACATATTGGGAAGCTTCTTATATTTATTAAATTGTTATATACTTGGAGACGTTTCTTAAAATTTATATAATCGGGAAGAAAAAAATAACATCTGGCCAAATGTTTTCTTTGACTCTCAAATAATTAAATAGTATTTCCCCCATTCATTAATGCGATTAAAAAAATAGTTCTTTGTAATGTAAGTCTTGCAATAGACATTTAGAATATATAAAACAGAAATTAGGATACACATTTATTTTATTTTATATATTCTTTGAGTTTATTTATTTATTTGGAGGGGGAGAGAAAGAGTGGACAAACAGAAAAGGGGAAGAGAAAGAGGGAAAGAGAGAATCCTAAGCAGGCTCCACACTGTCAGCACAGAGACCAACATGGGGCTCAAAACCACGAACTGTGAGATCACACCTGAGCCATAATCAAGAGTCAGATGCTTAACTGACTGGGCCACCCAGGCTCTCCTAAGATAAATATTAAAAAAAAATTGATGTTTATTTATTTTGTGAGAGAAAGAGACAGACTGAGCATGAGTGGAGGAGGGGCAGAGAGACAGAGGGAGACACAGAATCTGAAGCAGGCTCCAGGCTCTGAGCTGTCAGCACAGAGCCCAACTGGGGGTTCGAACTCACAAAGCCCGAGATGATGACCTGAGCCAAAGTTGGACACTTAACCAACAGCCATGCAGGCACTCCTAGGATAAATATTTTACTACCAGTATTTATTTAGTAGGAAAAGTAAAAATCATCCCACTAAATTACAAGTTCTAAGGGAAAAAAAATGAAACTTCTCTATACTCTGAGGGAAAGAAATACTTTTTGTTTCACCCTCCCTCCCACTTTATTTTCCCCATCTTTCCTTCTCACTCCTCCAATATTGTTCTCTTCTATTTGTACACACTCTGTCATGTCACAGATAATTACTTACATGTTGCAGGCTCTGGACCAGGAGCTGTAAACCAGAGAGGTGTTGTCCCTGTTCTCAAGTAGCTGACATCTATTAGAGAAGACAAACATAAAACATTAAACAGAAGTGGGATTATTTTTACAAAAACCATAACATACTGTGTACTGTGGAGTATATAAAATAGATTTCTAACTCTAGGTTTATACTTGGGATGGTACTGAAATTAGTGAGCTTGTCATACATGGGGAAATTAGTCCATTTGAACCTGATACTTAGAGTTATAGGCCAACATAATTCATTTGTTTTGTTTCTAACACTATTGCTTAATTTGAGAGCAGTTGCAGAGAAAACAAAAGGAGTGATTGATTGTTGGGATCTGACATGATAGAATGATAAAGGGAATTAGAATTCAGGACGCCCAGCAGTCTTCTCTTAAAGTAATGGCTACCATCAACTCTCTGCCTTTTGGATGATCTGTTATTTGCCACCTTTCAGATGCTTAATGATAAGAAGCATAAAACAAGAGGTAAAGGAAGGTAGTCTCTGGTCTTGTATCAGTGGTTGTTACACTGGTGCTAAGTGCCACATGTCTCCTTTGTCTTTTCTTATGTAGCATTAGTTTGTAGACATCTAATGCTTAAACTCCTTTCCTTCAGGTCTCTGCTTCTATTAACCCAGATTCGTGTGCCTGGGTATCTGATTGCGCTATTCTTCAAGCTGTGTCTTCATTTATTTATCTCTTATGCTAGTAGCGGTTTTCTCTGTCATCTTCCCTTCCTCCTAACAAACAAACAACACACACACACACTCTCTCTCTTTCTCTCTCTCTCTCTCTCTCACCTGGATGTAACCCAGCCTGCCTTGTTGAAATTGTCACTACTTACTTCTCTCATTTGACATTTGCCAACTGCTTTCTTATGTGGAACAGATTTTATGCCTGCTTCTCTTCACTTCTGGCACCTCGGGATACAGAATCTGCCATGCCTATAGACTTGTTATAGCCTGCCAATTGTCCCCTGTGCCAGCTGGTCTGCCTGTGGGCATTTTCAATTTAAATCCTTATAGTTTGCTCTATGTTTGAACTTGACCTTTACTAACCTGATTTGGGCTGCTCTTTCAGTCTTTAGCAAATAGTCTCCTTGAGATCAGCCTGTTTCCATTTTAGCTCCAACTGAATGTCCAGTGTGCAATAAGTATTTTTGAACAAATAATTTGCTTATTTTACCTTAGATCTTATGTTTATAAAAAAAAATACATCTCATTCTATGTTTAAACTCCTGTAAGTATGATTACATTTCCTAACACTTTGCATTTCACAATGATGCATCACATACAAGAAGTTTTCAAACCAACACTTCCAAATGTTGAGGGGGCTATGCTAAAGTTTGTTTTCCTGATTTTATATGTCATACTATGCTCAAGATAGCATCTGACCTGGCTCCTTAAAAACAAAACTGTTATGAGTACTGATTAATTTTAAAGCCTTCTTAATGACTCACGAGCACCAAGGCATCACACATTGGTTATCGTATGAGTCACATCATGAATTCTTAATGGCACGAAATCACTCCTGAAGGGCCAAAAATTGCTCTTGGATAAGGGCAAAAAGGAATATTATTTTTCGAATGTATAACACACAGACTTATACAGCACATAAAAATAGTATATTTGTGATATTAACAGTTCATGGGGGCGATTAGAAAAAAAAATATTTAAAAAGTCTCTTTGTGGAGGGTGACAAAAAAAAATGTTGAGACACACTGTGGTAAATAAAGGTAAAAAAGAGCTTCATCCCTGCTTTGCAGAGAGCATCTAAGCCAGCAGGTGAAATTTCCCAGGGAGTGACTCCTTTAAGAAGTGGCATGTTTTCAGAAAAATGTAACCACAGCCTAGAAAATGATGTGGTGACACACAGGAACATAGTCAAGAGACACTTTCTCAATTGTCAGCTTCTTTCAAACTTGAGAAAGTTTTCAACTGATTATCTTCTGACAAACTTTCCAGTTTTTAATTATTTTTCCAACCTACTATGTCAAATAAATAGCCATTTAATAAACACACACAACCTTCTACACTAATGTCATGTGACTTTTTAAAACTATATCTTTATGAGAAGTCGTATTTGTTTCCGTTTGAAAGAGCAACACTAGATTCAAACAGATCCCTCTGTCATCTCATGAATCACGGATTCATTTACTCACAACTACCGCTAAGAGCAAACTATTTTCTCTGGAAATAGTTAATTTCAGTTAGAGCCAACTTTGTACGAGTCTTAAAAGTCCTATAGACTCTAACAAATGAGCACTCTTCACAACTCTGGTGTAATCAGAGCCATGACTCAAACAGGTGAAGATATTTTCTTTGGGTTGATGACTTATATGACCTTTACCATCCCTAGCCTTTCTCTCTTTTGCATTGACTTTTTTTAATCTGCAAATTAAATCAACCCGCTTCAATACATTTAGCCTTGAAATTCAGGAACACTAAAATTAATTGTATATTTATTTGTTTGACATTCCTCTTACTTGTTAAAGAAAATCAATTCAATGATACTTTTTTTAAAAATTTTTTTTTGTTTTTTTTTTTTTCAACGTTTATTTATTTTTGGGACAGAGAGAGACAGAGCATGAACGGGGGAGGGGCAGAGAGAGAGAAGGAGACACAGAATCGGAAACAGGCTCCAGGCTCTGAGCCATCAGCCCAGAGCCCGACGCGGGGCTCGAACTCACGGACCGCGAGATCATGACCTGGCTGAAATCGGACGCTTAACTGACTGCGCCACCCAGGCGCCCCAATGATACTTTTTTTTTTTAATTTTTTTTTTAACGTTTATTTATTTTTTTGGGACAGAGAGAGACAGAGCATGAACAGGGGAGGGGCAGAGAGAGAGGGAGACACAGAATCAGAAACAGGCTCCAGGCTCTGAGCCATCAGCCCAGAGCCCGACGCGGGGCTCGAACTCACGGACTGCGAGATCGTGACCTGGCTGAAGTCGGACGCTTAACCGACTGCGCCACCCAGGCACCCCCAAACTTGATTTTTTATATCCTAACATTTACTATTCCTCTTCCATGCTCTACCTTGGCAAATGGCATAATCCTCACCATAACAACTATACTGTTAAGTGTATCTCTTGAGTCTTCCTCAAGCCTGAAATAATCAGAAAATTCCATTCCAAGCTATAATAATGGTTTTAGACACTCATTTATGTTAGTTTCAAATCCTGGTTTATCCACTTACAAGTTGTGTGGTCTTAGACAGGACAAGTAAATCCTTATTTCTCAATCCCCTTATTGATACAATGGAAATAACCTCTAACTCATAAAATGTTGTAATAATAACTTGAAGTAACATATGAAGAGCAGAGCACAAGGTAGGTAGGAAATACATTTTTGTTTTATTTTCTTATGCCACTGACATAGATTGTATGTTTACTTAGTGCCATCTGGATAGTCTGGCATTGACATGCCTCTGTTCTCTGTCAATATTTATTAAAACACCACAATGATATTAAATTGATTAGTCCACGAAAAACCTCCAAGAATTATCAAATGCCCACAGTAGTGATATCCCTATAGCACACGAGAATCTTTATCACATCTTGCACACTTCTATATATACCCAGTAGAGGACATGTTTGTCATAGGCATAGATTATGTATTTATCAAATGTCTTCTAATTTTGCTTACCTCCCTTTGTAAAAACACATTCATAAAGGCTCTACTGAATGCTTTGTAAATACTACTCATTTTCTGAAGGGGCTGTCATAGTCAAGCTGAGGTTGATTTAAGGATTGTATGAGTGAAGGAAGAGGAACTGAGTTAAACCACAGCTTCCAAATGGATTTACAGAATCTAACGTCCTGTTACCAAGTGTGTTTTGTCTTCTGCTTCGTTGGCATCTTTATGTATAGTCGTTATTGTTTAGGAGATAAAAAAAAATGCCCACAGGAAAGTCACATAATCTACAATCTCTCAGTTGGAGCTAACACCTCTCTCACTATCTTTCTCTCATTACTATTACTCTTCCCCGGATTGGAGGTTAAGACTGAATAATGATGATGATGATGATGATGATGATGATAATAATGAGTTGAATACAGATTGACCCCACCTTAAGCTTCACCTCCCCTGTACCCCTGTGGTGAATATGACCTCAGTCACTATAGGTTCCTGCTGTTGTTTTCATATGACTAAATCCTTTGGATGTGATACTCAGTTATACAAGAATTTTTTTTTTGAAAAATCCCTCTCTTGCTTGAGAAATGAGGAATTATAAATCACCTTTAACTGTCTTGTTACTCTATCTTCCAGATTAAAAAAATATATATTTGGCAATTTTTTTCTAGTTTATAGTCTTATGTTAGCAGGGCTCATTTGCTGATTTTCACAGTTCTTTAAACTCTGATTAAGTCAAGTTACTTGTTAACATCAATAATTTGGAAACGTAAGTTGTTTCACAGATGAATACAGAGGACTTGAGAAAATATGAAAACACGTGGTAATCGGTTTACCATCATTTCTAGCTCTACAGGAGAAATTTATTTCAGTGGTCTAAAAAGATCTCTTGAAGTGTCATATTAGTATGGACTCTAGGAAGTAGATTTTCATTTCTAATGTATTGCCTAACATAATTTTGTGTCCTTTTTATGTCTTCAATTTGATTTAGCATAAACATAGAACATTGTTTATTATTTTTGAGGTGGAAGAAATTTGCAAGTTATAATTGTCATATTCATGCAGAATAAATGTATACATGTGCGGTTCCTTAATAAATTGATATATTTGTTTACAATATGTTTTTCACCTCTATTTTCACTCCTTATCACATGTTCTGTTCTCTTTGCAGATCACAGTAGTAGTAAAGCTGCAAATGCATTCTGATTTTTTTTTTACCCTGTGTTTTTGCTAAGGCCAATACTGTCTTTATCTAGAACACTCATCCTCACATCCATCCAACTTAAATTTAATTCAGATTTTTACTTTATTTCTGTCTCCTCCAGACAGAAACTCTGTAACTCTAGCTTAGCACTATCATATTCTGAGGTAAATTGATGTTGAGTTGATATGTGTTACTTCTTTTACCAAACTGAAGATTTTGGGGGGTGTAATAACCATATTTCATTCTTTTTATTTTTTAAGCTTTTTAAAAATTTTTTAATGTTTATTTTTGAGACAGAGAGAGACAGAGCATGAGTGGGGGAGGGGCAGAGAGAGGGAGAGAGAGAGACAGAATCCGAAGCAGGCTCCAGGCTCTGAGCTGTCAGCACAGAGCCCCATGCAGGGCTCCAACCCACGAACCGTGAGATCATGACCTGAGCCCAAGTCGGATGCTCAACCGACTGAGCCACCCAGGCGCCCCAAGCTTTTTAAAAATTTTTAATGTTTATTTATGAGAGAGAGAGAGAAACAGAGACAGAGAGTGAATGGGGAGGGGCAATGAGAGACAGACACAGAATCTGAAACAGGCTCCAGGCTCCAAGCTGTCAGCACAGAGCCCGACACTGGACTTGAACTCACGAACTGTGAGATCATGACCTGAGCTGAAATCGGATGCCCAACCAACTGAGCCACCCAGTACCCCTCTTGTTCTTTTTTAAATTCTCAACTATAATTGTGGATTTTTTTTTTTGTATTCCTGTATTTCTGTCAATTGCATCTTTCTATATGTTGAAGTTCTTTATTTACTTATTTATATTTCATATATACATATATAATGTAGTTATGACTTTTTGACAAAATTTAATTACATCTCTTACAAAATATCTTTATTTCTAGTGTGTCTCTTTGCCTTCAAGTCTACTCAATTTAGCATTACCATATTCACACCAGTTTTCTTATGTTTACTGTTTGCATAGAATGTAGTTTTATATTATTATACTTTCAACTGGTCTGTTTTCATAATTTAGAACTGTTTTTTCTAGGGGTGCCTGGGTGGCTCAGTAGGCTAAGCAGCAGACTCTTGATTTGGCTCAGGTCAGGATATCATGCTTAGTGGGATCAAGCCCTGCATTGGGCGCTGCCCTGACAGCACAGAGCCTGCTTGGGACTCTCTAGCTCTCTGCCCCTCCCCCGCTTGTGCTTGCTCACTCTCTGTCTCTGTCTCTCTCAAAATAACTAAACCTAAAAAAAATTATTTATTTTAAATAGCACCTAATATTTTAATCCAATCTGATAATCTGTCTTTAAATGGAAGTGTTTGGTCCATTTACACATAATGTAAGTGTTTATATGCCTGAAGTTAAATCTATTTTGTCAGGTGTCACCAATTTTTTTCTATCTGTTCTTTTTTTCCCCTGTTTCTTATATTCTGCCTTCTTTTTTGTTCATTAATTTTTTTTTTAGTGTTTCAATTAAGTCTTCTATAAATTTTTTAAAGATATTTAGATTATTCTAGAAATTGCCCTAACAATTCCAGTATGCATTTTAACTTGTCTATTTTCAAGTAATGTTACTAGACTGACTTTATGAACACTCTAAGAACCTTATAATAGTAGAGTTCCATTTACTCTCCTCATTGAGCTCTTATCTATCATTGTTTTTCTACATAATAATCCCACATGTTATTTCCTTAAAATAGTTACTAATGTGTATACATATACAAAAATGTATATGTAAATGTGTGTGTGTATACATATATACATATCTATATACACATATATATACCTATATATACATATATATACACACACATGTGCATATGTACACACACATTTAAAGTTATGATTTTGTGCATAAGTTAACTTTTAGAAGGTTCTTCATGATTATCTAGATATTTACTTTTTATTTGTTTCCTGCAGTCAAAGTTCTATCTGTAATCACATTCCTCAGTCTGAAGAACTTTCAGTATTTCTTGTGCAGATCTTCTGGAGGTGAAACCTCTTAGCTTTAGTCTCTGAAAATATTGTTATTTTGTCTTCATATCTACATGATGCTTCTCCCTAGAGAGAATTGTGGGTAAAATTGTTTAATTTTTCCTCCATTTTAGAACACTTTAAAGTCTTTTCTTTTGTTTTCTGGCCTTCATTATTTTTGATGAGAAATATTCATCATCTTTATTATTGTTTCCCTGTATGTAATGTGTCTTTTCCTGGACTCTGGATGTTTTTAATATTTTCTCTGTTTTCGCTTTTGAGTAGATAGAATGATGTACCTCATCTGATTTTATTTACATTTATTTATTTATTTATTTATTTATTTATTTAGAAAGAGAGAGAGGAGGGGAGGGCAGAGACAGAGGGAGTGAGAGAATCTTAAGCAAGCTCTACGTTCAGTGTGGAGCCCCATGGAGACTCAATCTCGTGACCCAGAGATCATGACCCAAGCCGAAATCAAGAGTTGGATGCTCAACCAACTGACTACTTGGAACCTCTGATTTTATTTACTTTAATTCTGTTCAAGGTAAGTTAATCTTCTTGGATCTCTGTAATATTTTTCGTGTACTTTGGAAAACCTTTGTCCCTTTTTCAAACAACATTCTACATTCTGTCCTTTTTTCTCTCTCCCCTTTATCTTGTATTTCAATAATCACACACATGCATAATATTGTTCCTTATATTTCCAGATAGTCTGTCATACTTTTTCACTTTTCGTTATCTTTATGTTTCAGCTGTTACTATTTTTAGGGTCATTGATCTTTCCTCTGTTGAGTCCAAAAGAAGATTAATAACCACTCGAAGATCATTTTTTACAGTGTATTCATATATTTATTTTTGACATTTTTATTTTGTTTTTCATAGTTTCTGCTGAAATTTTCATCTTGTTTATGCATAGTGTAATATGTGGTGGTTAGTTTTATGTGTCAGTTTGACTAAGCTAAGGGATGCTCTAGTTAGCTACTAAAACATTATTTCTGGGTGTGTCTGTGAGAGTGTTTCTGTAGATACTAGATACTACTCGAATCAGTAGACTGAGTAAAGAATATCTGCCTTCACCAATGTGGATGAGCATCATCCAAATCATTAAGGGCCTAAATAGAATAAAAAGGCAAATGAAGGATAAATTCTCTCTCTCTCTCCTTGACCTGGGACTTCCATCTCCTCATGCCCTTGGACATTAGAGCCCCTGGTTTTCTGGCCTTCAAATTCTGGGACTTACACCAGTAGCTCCCTAATTCTCAGACTTTCAAATTCTGGCAGAATCATGCCACAGTCTTTCCTCATTCTCCAACTTGTGGATGGCATATTATGGGACTTCTTGGCCTCCATAACCATGTGAGCAAATTCCTATAACAAATCTCCTCTTTTTTATCTCCTTTGAGATATGTATGTAGTAATTGTGTACATACAAATTAGTATTTTTTAAATCAACATATATTTGTTATAGATATATATCATTCATTGTTCTGTTTCTCTGGGGAAACTTGACTACTGAATACACCTTTCCAGGAAACTTTTGTATAATTTTACATTTATTCTAAGTTCCCTGTCTGAAAATTACAATATGAAGGTCATTTCTAGGTTTATTTCTACTGCCTGTTTACTTTCCTCATCTTAGGTCCTATTTTCCGGACTCTTCATGGGACTTAAAAAATTTTATGATATGCTAGGTATTGTACATAAAATATCAGTAAGTTCTGGAATAAATTTTATTTTTCTTTATTTTTAATTTGTTTTAATGTTTATTTACTTTTGAGAGAAAGTGAGAGAGCATGTGTGAAAGTGAGAGAGAGGGAGACACAGAATTTGAAACAGGCTCTGAGCTGTCAGCACAGAGCCCGATATAGGGCTCGAACTCATGATCCATGAGATCATGACCATAGCTGAAGTTGGACACTTAGCTGGCTGAGCCACCCAGGTGCCCCTGTAATAAATTTTAAAAAGAAGTATTTCCTTTCTTCTGACAGGTTAATAGACAGTATTCCTTTCTTCTGATGGGTTGATAGATTCAGTTCACCACTAGCTTCTCATATTTTAAGAGGGAAATAAGAAATCTCTGGAGATCTCTTTTGTTTTATACATTTATGTCCAGTTTTAAGGAATGTTGGGGAATTCTCTTAGCCTTTTGATACCTGCCCTTGCTTGATCTCTCTTTGTCTTGCTCACCCGTCCCCAGTATTTGAGGATACAGTTTGTATACTTAGAAAAGTCCCATGTGCCCCATGTGCTGGTCTCTCAGCTTCCATACCCTGGCCTAGCTTTCAGCATATAACTTATATATTCATTGGCGATTAATGGGAAAGACTTGGAGGTGGTTGCAGACCTGCTCTGTAGCTCTAGTTGCACAGGATTCCTTCTTCTCCCACCACTTTACCAGTGAAAACAGCCATAAGACCCTTCTCTCCAAAAGTTGGCCTTAATATTTTGAATAAAATTCATTTGTATTTTTCTAATTAATTTCATCATCAGCCTTCTGATAGGTTTAAAAAGTTACTGTAATTAGGTAATCTATTTGGTTTATTTTCACTTTTTTTTTTGTTTCTTTGTTTTTATAAGGGGAAGCAATCTCTTATAACATTATATCACTTAACTGGAAGTAAAAGTCTCCCTCTTTGTTCTGTTTGTCTTTCTTCAGTTCCTACCAAGATAATTTAGGAATATATAGTATCTAATATGATATATCTAATAGCATTTACATCATTGGAAATTCTCTTTTCGTGTTGGAGATGTTTTTAAGATTTCTGGTAAAGAAATAACCAGTTGTGAATTTTTTAAAGGAACATATCTGTCATATCACACTGAAATGCCCGTGGGAGTTTTCTTAGGGTTCACTAAACATATAGACTCACAGGATGTCATAGGCATGTTTGACAGGAGATTCACAGAAAACACAAGCTATTTGCTTTGGTTCTTCAGATAATAGGTCATCTGGTCATAGATGAGGGAATGAAAGGAAACTGACACTGGGGAGGTACAGAAGTCACCCTGGGTTAATACTCATTCCTTACAGGAGTTAATATCTCTTGTAACAATTCCACTGCTGTTTTTTTCAGGTTTCAGTGGACAGGCCAGTTGCAAGAGTCACTGCAATCAGGATTGTTCAAAACTATGGCTTCCTACCAGGTATTTATAATTCTTTTATTCCAGATGCAATGTTCCTAATAGTGGTCAGTTTTACCATAAGAAATGCTCTACTTCTATGTTTCCAAGAGAAAAGTAACAGAAAATTGACTGAAGGTCAAATTCTCATCTGGTGTCTAACAACACAATTTAAAAGTGTTTGTATTTGCACTGTTCAACACTTAAAATTTCAAAACATCTAAATTATATCTTTCACAGAACATTTTATGAATCCTTGGCATTTAAATGTGAATGATAACATTTTGTGGGTATAGAAGATTTTCTCTGTACTAGAACCCATTTTATACGGAAGCAAAATAGTTTACTAGACACACAAACTAAATTCATGACATGGGTTTACATATGAAAAAGAAATCAGAAATTAAAAGTCTGTAGGAAGTATTTTTATTTTTATTATGATGATCACATGAAAAAAATGACAAAAGACCAAATTTATAACTGAAGAGCCGTTATGGACCCCAAAATAACTTATATTTATTGCATATTATATATCCTTTGTGTACTAAATGTTAATTATCATTTAGATATCATAAAAGCCAATTAAGATATAGGAATATTGTTCTATCAATCTCAGAAATAAGAAATATGAACCTTAGAAGATTTAAGTAATGAGCCTTCAGTCCAAAGTCAATGAGTGAATTGCAGAGCTGCATTTAACATAGATCATTTAACCACTACCATATATATATATGTATATGTAAGACTATATATATATATATATTAAACACTACCATATATATATATATATATATATATATATATATATATGTAAGACTATATATAATGTCTTAGGAATAAATTGGTACTATTTATTGAAAATTACTAAATATTTATACTAAATATCATGAATTGGCTGCAACTGATCCTCTCACATCCTTACAAATGTGAGACCTCTCAAAGACAGAAACAAAATACACATTTCTTTGATAAACAAGTTGCTTTTGCTTTTTTTGGTTAACTGTATATACTCTGTGCAAGATATTTGGAAGAAATTCAAATATATTTTTGTAGTTTATAGTATCATTGACTAAATTTGCATTATTCCTCATAGTATTTTAAAAATTATTCCTAAATTATTACACATACCTGCATATGATTATTATATGTAATGTTATTATATTTTTTGTTTACTTATTTATTTTGTGAGAAAGATCATGCACACAATAGCAGGGGAGGGGCAGAGAGAGAGGGAGAGAGAGAATTCCAAGAAGGCTCTGTGCTGACATCACAGAGCCCGATGTGGGGCTTGAACTTAGGAATGTCAGATCATGACCTGAGGTGAAATCAAGAGCCAGGAGCTTAGCCAACTGAGCCACCCAGATGCCTCTATATACATATATGTAAATAGTTTTAATTTATATTCTGGTATGGTGAATCTGAATCTTTGAATATAAATTGGAAGTAGTTGCTTTTATTGGTTATATATTCATATATAGAATTTATTATGCCATATTTTTAAAACTCAGAGGAGCAGTGTATATAGGGATTGAAAATAAAATGTGAAATTTGGAATGAAGACATTAATATACCTATTCTAATGTTTTGACTGCAAAAACAAGAAAACTCCAACTCCACAGGCTCAAATAATAAGGAAGTATTCATTTTCATATAATAAGATTCAAGAAAAAATATGCTCCAGAATTGATTAATTTAACAACACAATCACATCATCATGGTCCCAAATTATCACCTTCTTTCCATCCTACCACCTTCAACAGGTTACATTTGTCCTTAGGTTGCAGCTCCTATAACCACAAGATCACAGATACAGTTATACACATAAAATACAGATATGACAATGTCCATCAGACAAAGAGGAATTACCTCTTTTGAACCTTGTAAGACTAAAGGAACAATTTCAAACAATCTCTCAACAGATGTTTTTATTTATCTCATTGGCGAGGATGGTATCACATGCCCATACTAAACCAATCACTAGCAACAAGAATAGGCTACAAAAATGGGCTTGTTAAACTATCTATAATTTACCCTTAAAATTTCATTTGGCTTCCCTACTCTGAATAGAAAAAAGAGGGAGAGGGAAAACCTCAAACTCATTTGTGACTGCAACTGTTAGGGGGATAATGGTTTCTGGAAAAAAATAATAATATCTGCTACTCAGTATTTTATTCATGAAAAATAGTTCTGCATTAGCCTCTCAACTGCAATGGAACTTTAAAAATATACGTGATTACAAATAATGTTTTATTACATTCATGAAACAAAAAAATTACTTTTTCCAAAAGTGGCTAGGAATTATATAAAATAGTTGAGTGATATCTATAAAGTAATATGATTTTGAAACTACAGGTAATAAATATTATCCCAGCCCCTGGTTAACCTTGCACAGGTGAATTCTTATTGTGAAAAGAATGAGTTTTCAGTTTGAGTATTAATTTAGTTCAGAAGCTTAGATATCAAGTAATATTATAAAAGTTATGTGGCTTATGGGCTTACAGAAATTGTTCAACATGAACTGTTGGATGAAATTGTCTAATTGTAGTGACATCTATATTTTCCTTATAATTAGGGACATAATTTATTATCTAGAGAAAGTTTCCTTTTGTGATGTTTTTAATTTAACCAAAGACTATTTGTGAATAAAATATTTAGAAATCAAAGCAAATACTGAGGAAATGATAATACAGAAAGGGGTGAAATAAGGATACAGGTCTGGGAGAAATTTCACAGAGCTTTTATGTATATTTAATCTATGATTGTTTATCTAATTGTTCTATATTTTGTTTATCATACTGTTAATTTATAAATCTACTTATAGTTATTTATTGAATATCATGGTACACTGTGTAACTTCATAAGATTACTCAATAGCTATACTTAAGTATTTGGAGGTAATAAAGTTAACCATTTTAGAGAAGATCAGCTGTCCTTGTAGCATGATCTTCATTATCATCTTCATCATGAAGTGTGGCATATATTTTAGAGGGAAAGATGGATTTGCCTTTGGGGAGTTATACCACTATTCCATTAAAAATACTTTTGTGAGGGGTGCCTGGGTGGCGCAGTCGGTTAAGCGTCCGACTTCAGCCAGGTCACGATCTCGCGGTCTGTGAGTTCGAGCCCCGCGTCAGGCTCTGGGCTGATGGCTCGGAGCCTGGAGCCTGTTTCCGATTCTGTGTCTCTCTCTCTCTCTCTGCCCCTCCCCCGTTCATGCTCTGACTCTCTCTGTTCCAAATAAATAAACGTTGAAAAAAAAAAATACTTTTGTGAATATATTTAAATGTAAGTCAAGTCCATCTATCATATTTTAGATAACTCCGAAGAAAGAGGGGCATGTTCTGTTTCCAGTAATGAAATGTATATTACAATTTTTTAGTGTAAATATATTTTAACCTTTTTTTTTCCAAATGATGATTTTAGTTTAGACTGGCAGATTGACCCCAAAAGCTTGGTGTGTGTGTGTGTGTGTGTGTGTGTGTGTGTGTGTGGAGGGGGGGTGTATGTGTGTGTTTTCTTTGCTGGTTTGTTTCTGTTTACAGAAAGTATGCATTTTGAGGGGCGCCTGGGTGGCTCAGTCGGTTAAGCATCTGACTTTGGCTCAGGTCATGATCTCATGGTTCATGAGTTCAAGCCCCTCATCACATCGGGCTCTGTGCTGGCAGCTCAGAGCCTGGAGCCTGCTTCTGATTCTGTGTCTCCCTCTCTCTCTGCCCCTCTCCTGTTCACACTGTCTCTCTCTGTCTCTCAAAAATAAATAAATGCAAAAAAATTTTTTTTAAAAAAGAAAGTATGCATTTTGAGAGAGGTGTGTGTGTGTGTGTGTGTGTGTGTGTGTGTGTTTATGTATTTAATTCTGGTCACGTTAGGAAAAGGTTTTTAAGAAACACTAGAGACATTTCCAGAACGATGCACTGGCTTCATTTTTCTTTACTTTTGGCTCAAGAAAATAATATCAAAGAGACTGCACTGACTTAGTACTGCACTACCTGAACTACCGTTACTTACATCTAAAGAATTCACCCATTAAAAATATATCAGTATCTATTGTCATTGTGTACTGAGTTTTGGAGGTCTGATCACTGCATGTGAGTGGAAAAGGAAGATCTTTAAGGAAGACCTGTGCCAAGAATTCTGGTGAGTGGAAACGGGACAGGAATGAAACAACTATAGACAGAACATTGGTACATTTGATTGTGACAAAATGTTGAAGTTTCAGTGACATTAAAATGAAATTAATCACTAGAAGGTGAGGAGTGGAGGCTGTTGGAGATTTGAGGAGAGGGAAAATATACAAGATTTTGCAAAGCTATTAGCACATGGAAGAGAATGTTGATAAGAAATATATATACAAATATGCACATGGACATTTATATCATGCTTACAATTTTAAAGGGATTTCCAATATATGAAAAAGGTCTTTGATTTTTTGTTGTTGTTGTCAAACTGGATGTAGTATTAAGTGTGCATTTTCTGAGTTCTGTCTTAAAGGAAATGGCTTTTCAAAATAAAATGCTTCATGCAAAAATTAGGCATGATTACACAGAAGAGTCATAATTTACTTGTTATTATACAGCCTAGTGCTTAAAGTGGGAGTACAGGAAGTCAGACTATTTTGAGAATTATAATTCTTGGTGAAAGATTCTGGAGCAAAAAATTTAAAGGAGCAGATTTATCTGAATACATAGAAATGTTTAGTACACAATCCAGGAATTACCTTTTTATGTCCATTCACTTTTATTTTTCATCCAGTGGATTTCACTAAAGCAAGCATTTAGAGTTATGCCCCTACTGAAGTTTATTTGAAACAGCTATATATTCTTTATTTTTTTATTTATATATGAAATTTATTGTCAAATTGGTTTCCATACAACACCCAGTGCTCATCCCAAAAGGTGCCCTCCTCAATACCCATCACCCACCCTCTCCTCCCTCCCACCCCCCATCAACACTTAGTTTGTTCTCAGTTCTCAACAGTCTCTTATGCTTTGGCTCTTTTCACATGCATCCTGCAACCCTTTGGG